GAGTACTGCATCCCGTTCTGGGCGCCGCACTGCAGGAGGGACGTGGATAGCATGGAGAGGGTCCAGAGGAGGCCACTCGCATGATCAGAGGACAGCAGGGCAGGGCCCACGAGGAGAGACTACGGGACCTGAACCTGTTCAGCCTCCACAAGAGAAGGCTGAGGGGGGATCTTGTGGCCTGTTATAAACTAGTCAGGGGGGATCAGCAGGCATTGGGGGAGTCCCTGTTCCCCTGAGCACTACCAGGAGTGACCAGGAACGACAGTCACAAGCTGGCAGAGGGTAGGTTTAGGTTAGACATCAGGAGGCGCTACTTCACGGTCAGGGCGGCTAGCGTCTGGAACCAACTTCCAAGAGAAGTGGTGCAGGCTCCTACCCTGGGGGGCTTTAAGAGGAGATTAGATGAACACCTTGCTGGGGTCGTTTGACCCCAGGACTCTTTCCTGCCATGGCAGGGGTCGGACTTAATGATTTGCTCAGGTCCCTTCTGACCCTAGAAACTATGAAACTATGAAACCAAGCAATCCTTGAGTTATTTAACCATACAGACATTGTGTCCCTACAGGTTGAACCAGATGGATGCGTTGAGGAGGGTGGCCTTCTTCATCCTGTGCTCTGCGGCGTGCACGTTGTTCACAGATGCTTTTGCTTTCGTTGGGTCAGTCTCTCCACCTCCTTCATGAACCGGAGGCAGAGCTCCTCTTCCCATGGCAAAGCCACACACTGAACCGCCAAGGGCAGCCCCACAGCTCCACAAGCAGCCTGTCCATGGAAACACAAAGAAGGAAACCGCTTGACATCCAAAGTCAAGGCAAGGCGGATGGCAACCCAAGCATCCAAAGGCCAGGCAGCTACAAACCTTCACAAGCACCTTGTCCCACCGGTCATGACGGTATCCCTTGTAGCTCTTCAGTGCTTCCTCATCTTCTTCAGTCACTGTAGTGACGGGCACGACCCCAACAGGGATGTCCAAGAAGTTATGCAGAACAGTATAGCTCACGAGCACTGTAAAGCAGAACATGGTCAGGTCCTGATCATTACCTCTGCAGCAGAAATGACGCATTCCCCGCTGGAAAATCATTCCTTTGGGGGAGGGAGGAATGACGGAGATATTTTAGGAGCACAACTGGAGCACGGCAGGAGCCCTCATGGTATGGTAAAGGGTCCCTCAACCTCCATCTTCTCTTGTGGAATTCGCTACCTCCAAGGATAACACCTTCCCAGTACACAACATGCATCTTCCCTCCCCTCCCAAACCGGCTGCTATAAATTGGAATGCGCATTACATGTGAGAAATGCGGTAAGAGCCGTATCTGCCACTGACAAGGCAAAAGGGAAAGTAAAATCTACAGGGAGAAGAATGATAAGCAGACTCAGTTCATTAGCTGCTACGACTCAGGCTAAAAACAGATGTTGGATTTCCCCCAGGCCTTTTATTCTGGGATCCTACAAACTCACTGTCCCACTTTAAGCACCTAGGAAGAACCACGATAGCCCTTTCCCCCCAGGACAATCTGGGCTAATCCAAGTTAGTTGCCATTCAAGTTGTGTGTGTAAATCGCCTGTTTTGATGCAGGTCAAAGGCCAGGACGATCAGATCCGGGATAAACCCAGGGTCTGTTTTTAGCTTTATTTACTGACTACAAGGAAATAGCATTTCTTGTCTCAGCCTTTCAAAAACAAGGTGTGCATCTTATTCTAAAGGCATGTTGTGTGCAGGAAAATACCGTTCTCTCAGCTACACTACTCGGTCCAAGTCCTACGTTATGAGGATGGGATGTGGTATCTGTCCCCAAGCCTATGCCATGCACAGAACATTTTGCCCAGCATCAACAGTATTAAAGTACTACATCAAGCTGGAGAGGGGGAGCTATCACCAAAGCATCACGGGTAAAATTGTCACAAGTGCCTAAGTGACTTAGGAGCCCCCATCCCCATATTGGTTTAATTTTTGGAAGGTATTTTGGTGCCCCTCTGCTTCTAAGTGGGAAACAGTCCTGGACAGATCTCAGCTAAGTGGAAAGATGGGCTTAGGAAGTGTGGGGAGATAGGAGTGGAGATGAAGCTGAAAAGTGCTCTTCTATTATCTCCAGGGAACCGAGAGGCCATCCATCCACAGGAAGCCTTAAAGCTCCTTGATCCACCCAAAGGATCAGGACTGGACATGATCCTCAAGTGCACTGGCACATTTCCTGCTTCATGAATTAATACCTGCGAGTTTCGAAGGATATCCAGCCTTAAAAGCAGGGCCCAACATGGGGGACAGCATCACATCTAGATCCAGCTTCCTCCAGTCAGCCATGAATTGTTGCCTATGCTCCTGAGAGCCAAACAAAGAACCATAGAAAATGAGGGTTGGGAGGGAGCTCGGGAGGTCAGCCAACCCCCTGCTCCAAGCAGGACCAGCCCCAACTTGATCATACCTGGAGTTGAGCTTCACTAGGATCAGAAAGATTGCTACCCAAAGAATGCCCCTAAAATAACACCCCTCAGGTCAGATCAAAACCTGACTCAAGAAGATGGCGTGGCTCTTTCTCTTCTCAGACATTTGCCCTATGAATTCAGATTGGAAGGGAAGGCAATGACTTTCTTGCCATGCCTAAATGCTCAACACAATGAAGCCCAAAAGTAACCAAGGCCTTTAGGCACAACTGTAATGCAAAAAAAAGTGTGATCCATCGATTTTGTTCTTCAACTGTTTCTGAAGAATCCCACTTCCATTTAAAGAGCCCAACCTTAGGGAACCTCACCCACCCAATTCAGTTTCCAGAAAGTAGTTTCAGCCCTACCAAAACCTATTAGCTAAACCAAAATATGCTGCGCTCTGTTTATACTGCACCTTTGACTATCATGTATTTAGGACCTGCCCCCACCCGTTGGTAGCCTTCCTGCTGATTTCAGTTGTCGCTGCATAAGGTCCATATCAAGCACAAGTTACTGAGAGACATCAATCAATATTCTGGCTGATACATTACCTCAATCTCACTATGGAGCACCCAGACTTCCTTCACAGACCTAAAAGTTCAAAAAGGAAAAGCAAAGGAAGCAAAAATAGTTCATCCATTTTGCATTCTCATGCGTGTGCTCTCTCTCTCCCGAAGGGCAACCCCAGGAGACCCCCAGCAAGACAGGGTCAGATGACCCACAGTTGACTGAAAGCTACCTTAGCTTTCCCACCTCCATCAGTGCATCCATCAGTGTTTCACCCACTGATCTCGTTGTTAAGCCCTGGAACTGGCTACCCAGAGAGCCTGGGAAAGCTCCATCCTTAAATGATTTTAAGAACAGGTTGGACGGACACTCGTCTGGGATGGTTTAGTCAGGGCTGATCCTGCCTGGAGCAGGGGGATGGTTTAGATGTGATTTCCTGAGGGCTTTGCCAGCCCAGCTTTCCTGTGATTTTATGATTTTAAGGAGATCAGAGGCTCCTTTATCATGCCTGGTTCAAACACCAGATTCATGGCTGACTCCCATAACGTCTCCATTTACCCAGGCAGACAGAGTGCCTTGCTGTCCTTGAGAAACTAACTGTTTCCAGCAAAACTCTGAACACTGAGAAATTCCCACTCTGATTACTACACTCACTAAGTGGAAGGCTACGATGCAGTTACAAAGGGAGGGCCATGCACAGAATATGTATTTCTTCTCCTGGAAAATGAGGGCGATGGACCCATTCAAATGCTTGAGACAGACAAGAAATGAGCTAGGCAATCAATTAACATGGGAAAGCAGGCACCAGGGGATTCTCCCAACTACAATCCCTCCAAAACCCTCTGGAAGACGCAGCAGATACAAAGTGGGGTGCTTTGCTTTAGGAGAGGGTTGGGTCACCAGAAAAAAACCCATCTCTCCAGTGCTCCAGTCTGCACTGGCTTCCAATAGCTTTCTGGGTGTAATTCAAGGTGCTGGTCTTTATAAGCCCTAAATGGCCTGGCTCCTATATCCCTAAGGAACTGGCTCCTCCCTTATGCACCATCACGATACCTAAGGTCAGCCAAGAGAGACCTCCCACAAATATCACAAATGTGCCAAGTGAGGAGGTTATCCTCAGTAACCATACCTCAAACCTGGAACTTCCTTTCCCTTGAGTCTTGCCATAGCACAAGTCTGAATATCTTTCACAAGTGCTATAAGGCCTTCCTGTTTGAGCAAGAATTTAGCAGGAGGTGTTCAGTGTTGGGATATTGCCCAGGGAATAGTTTTCTTCCTTAATGTATAATCTCTTAGAATCACTTTTTCATTGCAAACTGCACCACACCTTTCTCGGGGAGGGCAGCTTAGATCAAAATCAACCACTAATCCATTGAGAAGAGTATTATTTCTTCACAAGACTAGGACTTGTTTGTCAAATCTCCTGTGGCTGCAAGCTTGGAAGTTTTGTTGGCATGGCTAGGAGTTGGGTTTCTTCTGAGAAACCGATTGAATGCGTCTACATGTACAGGTAACATGCAGAAATAAACTCTGGTGCACATTGCGTCAGAGTTTAATGCTCCTGGGCACTGCATTTGAATGTGCGTTGAGAGTGCAATACGTTAAGCTGGTTGGAACAGATCCGGCTCAACGTGCTGTGGAGGGGCTGGCTGGGGCACGAGGATGCTCCAGTCAGCCAGGTCAGCATCTACATGTGCATTATTTACAAGTACTATCCTACGGCAGAGTTTGTTAGTTTACTGTGGCCTAAGAAGGCCGCATGTGAAGATACTGAAACATTTACTGCTGAGTTAATTAGTCAGCTCCGCAGTAAATGTCTCATGTAGACACACCCACTTAGTAGCAGCTTCCCTGGGTGTGTGCTGTTTTGATTATTATTTTGAGTAACAAAAGGCTGATTTACACATATAATGTTATGGTGTTAATTGTTAAAACCTAAGTGTAAAGCTGCACCCTTACACATTTACTCAGCCCTTCTGGAGTTACTCACCTGGTCACCAGGCTTCCCAACATTTTTGATAACCGAGGCATCTAAGAAGAAGAAAAAAAGGAGCACATGAAACATGAACGTTTGTATGTTTAATTCATTTATTGAACAGCTTCAATGAATCTGGCTAAACCAAATACGAATTTGAATGGGGCAGGTTGCCTAGTGGGAGTCAGGACTCTTGGGTTCTGTTGTCAGCCTCGGGAGACAATGTCATTTCAAGCTTGTTGGAAGGGTTAGGGATCCCTTGATTTATTTTCTGGTTATGTTACCCTGGAAAGAACACCCCTACTCCACTGCTCTCACTGACTGTCTGCCAGGTCCATTTGAACTGGATGTTCTTTGGGACAGTGACTTTCAGAGTCCTGTGTCCAGTTTTGGGTCCCCCACTACAGAAAGGATGTGGACACACTGGAGAGAGAGCAGCAAAGGGCATCAAAAAGGTTAGGGGGCTGGGGCACACGACTTGTGAGGAGAGGCTGAGGGAACTGGGCTGTTTGAATCTGGAGAAGAGAAGACCGAGAGGGATTGAATAGCAGCCTTCGCCTCCCTGCAGGGGGGCTGCAAAGAGGATGGAACTGGACTGGTCTCAGTGGGGGCAGATGACAGGACAAGGAGCAATGGGCTCAAGTTGCAGCAAGGGAAGTTCAGGTTGGATACTAGGAAAAACTGTCTCACAAGGAGGGTGGTGAAGTGCTGGAACAGGCTCCCCAGAGAGGTGGTGGAGTCTCCATCCTTGGAGGATTTAAAGGCCCAACTCAACAAAGCCTTGGCTGGGATGATGTAGTTGGGGCTGGTCCTGTTTGGAGCAGGGGGTTGGACTAGATGTGACCTCCTGAGGTCCCGTCCAGCCCTCGTTTTCTAGGATTCTGTTATTCTTTTTTTATAAAGTGTCTTTACAGAACTACCAGGCTGGGGTCTAGATGTATTACAGCAACACACCCAGCCTACAAGGGGCTATGACTATGTCTAAACTTTGGCAAAGATGGGCCGAATGTTGCTCGAAACCTCAAATGGCATGAATTTAATTTGGTTTCATTGCAAATACAACAAATAGTATTAAAAGGACATTCCTCCCTTGTCTTCCCCAAGTTGTTGAACTGATTTCTTTCCAGGCATGTGATTAACCATGCACTGGGAGAAATATGGCCTTGCATATTCAGTCAACTCTGTTGAGGGACAAAAAACACTCGTCCACAAAGTTATTGGTATTTGTTTCTTCCCCTCAGTCAGCCCATTTCTACTTTATTCTACCTACTTCAGAGACAAGTGTTTCATGTAGCTCTAGGTATGGGTTGTGTTTAAGTAGAAGAAAGTGCCTTACTCCCCCTGTTTGAGAGAGGTGAACCCATTTTTCTACTTAAAGTAGACGAGAGGTGGCCATGACTCTTCGTGTATCTCATGCACAAACAAGGTGAGTCCTAAGTTCTCCTAGAGACTGACAGACAAAAATCCCTGGCATTGGCTTAGTGGAATTACTTCCTTTCTCACTTAGATGGAAAAAAACTCAGATGGAAATCAGTTGAGCTCAAAAGTGAACCTACCATGTATGGAATATAGTTACTATTTCCTTGCCTGTGAAAGGCAATCAAAACATTAGCTTTTCTTTTTGTCTTTTAACTCTGTTCTTCTTTTTGTATGATATTTATCTCAGGAGCTCTTTGAATCAGAACTGAGTCAGAGAGGACACACACAGCACAGACAGAAGTTACAGAAGACACTACACTTTGAAACGTCTTATTCTGATACCTCATGCAATGAGGGGTCAGATTTTCACCCAATGCACCATTTTTGAAGCTGCCTGCAGCTGTGCACTTGTGTTTGGTCACAGTTATAAATTGTTTTCTGTGGCCAGATGGGGTGAAAATTGTCACTTCTGTCTATGCCCAATAGAGCACTTCTGGTTGACAATCACTGCCTTATAGTGATGGTGCTGAATTTATGCCAGCAGTAAGATGCCTTTGAGCTGTGCAAAAGAGGATGTCTATGCGGTGCAGTACCATGCCACATCGAGCGCTAGGTGAGAATCAGGGGATATCTGCCCAGACGGAGCATGGTGTTAATATGGCTATCCTGCTCCAAGAGCCCAAGCTAGCCCACGGCATCAAGCCAGGAAGACATCCCTTCAGTCAGCCTCTCAGTATTCAGGTTAGTCACCAGCCAGCTAAGAAGTCAAAGCAGGTTAAACACATCTTACTATTGGTCCGGTGATCCAGGATATGAGTTTTTTAAACCAATCAGGCAACTTGGCCATCAGAAGAAACTGTCTGGCATAAGGTTCCTCCAACTCCCCTTTGCTGAAAGAGAACAGTGCACTTGTTGAAGCAGGCAGTAACTATCACCTCAGCTCTTTTACTAGCTGCCTCCTGGAAGGGTATAGTAAAGAATCACATTTCTCAGCTGAGCTCTCCAGGTGTCTCAAGGTCACTGGGCTGCCTGAGTCTAGCAGCCTGCTGGGCAGCACGGCCCACCTAAATCAAGGGCACACAAGATAGGGATATCCAGCACCACATCTGTCTGGCTTCAAATCCTCTGCCCAAATAACTGAGTGCCCACTGACAGCTGTATCGGTGATAATTCACCCCTCTGATGCCATGGTGCGACATTTCATCTGCTTTATCACTGAGCTTCTTCTCCAGCCTCTTAACACCAGGACATTCTCCCCTGGAAAGCAGTAGCTCCAGATACTCAAACCTACTTGGTTCCAATAGGAATTTGTGCCTGGATACGTAACATCCCTGAACCAATCAACTGATCCATGGTCCAACTCAAATTAACCTCCTGGTGTTCAGGGCTAGGGACAGACATTACACATAAACCAGTTTAAGTGATCAGAGACTGGTTTAAACCTGCAACAGAACGTAAGTTAAGTGCACATAAAGCAGTTTCAAAATGGCTGAAACTGGTTTAAGATAAACTTGATTGAATATAGTATCAGACTTAACTGATTTGGGTCAAACTGGTTTATGCAAAGTTTGTCCCAGACCCCTTCCTGGTTTAAGTTAAACCAGAGTCCTCCAGCATCCCAGATGCTTTGCCATCCCAGGGTTGGGCTGGGGTGGGCTAGTCTGTGCTGTGCTATCTGCTGCAGAAAACAGGCTGGCCCTGCCCCTCTCCTCTCTAGCCAGAGCTGGGGGAAACTGGAGGTACAGCAGGGTCTGCCTGGCTTCCACCTGCCCCACCTACCACTTGCTGCTCACTGCTCAAACAGAGATTCTCCTCTTCCTCCCTCCCATCTCCCACAGCATGGACCCCAGCCCCATGGACCCTAGGCATGTGGTATGCTAGCTAATGCTGAGAGGTGTCTGTGTGTGTGTGCCTTCAGTTTTACTGGGACAGGCAGACAGAACAGTGTCCACTTGGGACTTTTTGGAGCTAATCAACAGGTAGCTGGTAATGCCCCTCCATTCCTTCCTTGGAAAAAGCTGTTTAAGAAGAGCTTGAACTAATGAGAAAGGCTTTTGTTTTGCTGGTGGGCTACTAACACAGTGGTTTGCAGGTGGGCTGAGATAACATTGTGGTTTTATCAGCCCACCTTCAGGTTTGCAGCCCTGTCAGGTTTGCAGACAGAGAGAGGGAGATTGAAAAGCTTTGTATCATCAACAGATGCATGCACTGCACACCCCACCTTTGCCTCAGAGTGTGGCCAGCGGGGGAAAAGCCTGAGATGGTGCAGGCCATAGTGGGGGGTTTATACCTCTCCCTAATCAGAGGTCCTGTTACGGCCTGGCCACATGCCCCCCCCTTTCCCCTCAGCTTAGCACTGTAGAGGGGGAGGGAGGGCTACCCTAGCACCCCCTGGCTTCTAGCCTGAGCCACTGCAAGCATGTGCTTGCATTTCTTCAATCCACAGGGGATGTCTGTGCAGTTATAAGCTGGTTCAGCCTACCCAGGTTAGACTAACCTGCAAAGATTGAATCAATTCAGGCTCAGGCTCTTTGAATGTCTGTCCCTAGCCTTGGAGATGCTCATCTTTGGTGGTTGCTAGCCACCATCACCACATTCTTGGAGCTGCTCACAGAATGAGATTATATTCCTCACAACCCCATGATTTGATCCTTCCCTCACAAATAGGAAACAGAGGCAAAAAGAAGTTCAGTGCCTTGCCTAGTGGGGCTAGCACTTGCCTAGTGGTGCTAGCACTCCACTCAGGTTCACCACATACCAATCCAGCACTTTAATCTATGGGCTGCCTGTTCCCTGCCCCTCCCAACTTTGTCACTTGGCCTTGACCAACAGAATGTCCTTTATCCCCATTTATATTGAACTAAACAAAGGAAAAATATTGCCTACTCACATCTTATACACCTGAGTGCTTATTTAGAGATAGATGTGTGTGCGCACGCGTGCACACACACACACATACACACACACATATACGCGCGCGCGCACACACACACACACACACACACACACTTGGTGAAGGTTGTACTTACAAGCTGTCCACATACGTGGAACTTCCATCTGCAAACAATCCCTTTAGGCAAATATTAAAGAAAAAGTCGTCTGAGAAGTGGGGTGTGAAAGGCACCAGCTAAAAAAGCAAACAAGGGAAAGGCAGTGAGTCTAGAGATACGAGCACCATGAGCCACACAGAACAGAGATGAACAAATACAAGTGATTAAAGGTTTATGTCTCTTGCTGCAGCCTGGGATGGTGTCAGGGTTTGAGAGTGGGAAAGACTGGCAGATACTGCTTGGGTGGGGTGGTGATTTTTTTTACTTAAAAATTCAGCTTTTGATGGAAGTTAACTAAGTACTTCTAGGTTTGAATGGCTCATTTACACCCAGCATTTGGAAAACATGGATAGGAACCATTTCCAAAGCTAATTACTCAGCACTGCACAGTTGTAAGCTTGAGTCCACAGCCATTCTAGATCTGGATACTCTCTCTGCCAGAGAGCCTAGGCCATCATAAAAACAGAAGTACAGGCATTGAGTGATACATGCACCCTGTGTTGTTGTTAGAAAGCACATTGGAAGTGACACACGGAACAAGAGTTCTGATGTCATACGTGAGTATTTTTGTACGCAATCTCCCGCATATTGGGGAATCTACTAGAAATTAACAGGGTTTGAAAGAAATTCCTTTAAAGCCCAAGGGACTTTACTGAGAGAGAGGATTTGTTCAGTAGTTCAAATTTATTTTTTGGGGGTTTTTTGTTTCCTCTAGAATTCTGTCACTGTAATACAACTTTCTCTATGGGGAAATTAAAAGAAAAAATATTTAGCACATATTATTCTTTTAAACTCAACTCTTCCAAAAGAGTTGAGTTTACATGACTTGTGAGGAGAGGCCAGGGGAACTGGGCTTATTTAGTCTGCAGGAGAGAAGACTGCGGGGGATTGAATAGCAGCCTTCACCTCCCTGCAGGGGGGCTGCAAAGAGGATGGAGCTGGACTGTTCTTAGTGGGGGCAGATGACAGGACAAGGAGTAATGGTCTCAAGCTGCAGCAAAGGAAGTTGAGGTTGGATATTAGGAAAAACTTTCTCATGAGGAGGGTGGTAAAACACTGGAACAGTTTGCCCAGAGAGGTGGTGGCATCTCCATCCTTGGAGGTTTTTAAGACCTGGGTAGACGAAGTCTTGTCTGGGATGATGTAGTTGGGGCTGGTCCTACTTGGAGAAGGGGGTTGGACTAGATGTGACCTCCTGAGCTCCCTTTCAGCCCTAATTTTCTATGACTCTATAAAAAGGCACTAGGGGGTTTTAAGAAAGTTCTCTTTTTCAGTGACCACACCCCCCCACCCATGAGATGCACAAGTTAATAGCCAAATCTGTTGATATAAAAGTGTTAATTTCACTGAGGTATTTACAGAATGAACCTATGGGGTTTGTCCATGTTACAGCTTCCAGTCCAACTGCAACATTTAAAAGCATATGTGTTTGCTTTAGTATTAATAGCAGCAAAACCTCATGGATTTCATCACAGGCTGACCTTGCAGTTACGTGCCCAGGGTTGGCATGTGTGACTATGCTATGACTCTGCTGTAAATTCAAGGGGTGTCCACACGGTTCAGTCACACCTCTATGCACCCTATCAAGGAGGTTCTAAAAGCCCGCTTAAACTTAAATGGCAAATTTCCCATGGATGCCAAGATGGCACACAAGACATTGAATGCTGACCAGTAACACCTCATTGCCTCCTTGTGCCATTCATCTTTGTATTGTCTAAGACCAAAACGTCTTTAGAACAGGGCCCATCACTCTGTTTTTTACAGCACCAAGCACCATAGGGGTCCTGTTTCATGACCGATGCTCCTGTGCCCTCTCCCAAACAGTGCCACAGTTCCAAGGATTACCGTATGGCCGGCGTCCTCTAGAAGCTTCCTGGTCTCCAGAACTGCACGTCTCATGGAAGGAATGGCCATAGTTAAACTATCTGTATCGTGATACCCTATGCGGAGAGGTCTTGAACTGGCATACACCTGGGGTGGAAGAAAGGGAGTCATTTGTGGTGTCAGGAACCAAAGAAAGACTTTTAAAACTGGCAAGAACAGTCATTTCTAATGTCCCAATACTGGAAATGTAATACACTTAGCAAAATCAACTGAGTAGGTTCCCCTTGTTGCTTTGAAAAGCAGACAATTCACAGGCAGGGGTGCATTGACTATAAAAAGGATCTCAGGGTTTAAGGCAAAAGATTGGCGGAGCTTGGCGGTCAATAGCTCAAGCAACTCAGTCCTTCTCTGTGGGCATGTCTGCATGTGCACTTACTGCACAGTAAATTACTGCACAATAAGTGGTTTTTAGATTAGCATCTACCCTTGTAGGCGTTACAGTATAGTAATGCTGTGTGTGCATTGACTTCTGAGTAAAGTTACTCCAAGTCATACAAACCGGGTCACTGCACAGCAAGGCATATACACGTGCCTTAAAGCTCAGTAAGTACTCAGGAGTAAATTTGCTACCTGCATTATGCAGGTAGCAAATTTACTGCTGAGTCAGTGTAAGTCACCATACTTATGGAGCAGTATGGGCATGCACATGTAGACGTGCACCTGTACTATACAGTAATTTTCAGTTACTGTGCAGTAACCTAAGTTACTATGCAGGAACGACTCACATGTAGACACACCGTGTGTCTCACTTTCCAAACTGGAAAGACAGGGAGGATAATACCATGTTATCTCACATAGAACACCCCCCTTTTTCCAAAATGTAGCTGCTGGAAACTGGAGTGCATGCTATAAGTGAGGAAATATGGTCATGTCAGTTTTTGTATACAAGAAAATACAGTATTTCCCTCAGGGAGGCTGCAAAGCTCAGTTTGCTTCCATGTTATCATTCTGTATTCAAAGGTATAGAATAATAGCTGTTCATCATTGGTACACTCCTGGACCCCTTCTTCCCTCTATAGAGATCTTTTTGGGACTTTACCTCCTCCTTGAAGGGCATTGGAGGCACAGAAGAATCTAGGCGGAATAAGTCATCACACAGGAGTGCCCTCATGCACAGAGCCAGGCTGTCCACATCCCGTGCTATGGGCCCGATTGCTGGCATTGCTGAAATAAATTAGGAGACCATTTGTACAGGCAAGCATCAGGTCCCCACAGACCTCCAAGGGGAGAAAACTATGTGGGGGCTGTTGGGCAAAAGCACACCCATGGTCTATCCTGTCCTATTTGGGACAGTGGCTAGTACCACCTACTTCAGAACAGGCCACTCTGGGATAGCCCCCGTCCAGTGAATTATTTTTCTGATGTTCATTATTCTGAGGTTTACTGGTGCCCTGAAGCATGAGAATTTATTTTCCTTCTTCCCTCAGTCCTTGCAGCGACTCTGGATGTTTTCATCATACAAAGAAGTGTAGGAGAACCCAAGAGCTCTGCATTATTTTCCCATTTTATTTGCAAATGAGAAAGATTCCTGAACTGTACAGAATGTTCCTTCAAGGGGTTAAAAAGCTGGAAGGAGTCTTTTTGTTATAAATGGAGAAATCCCATGATGCCACTTTCAGACAAGAATTCCAGAAAGAGGTGGACTTAGCTTCAGCCGCACAACCAATTCTATTGCAAGGAGACAAGCCCCACAGCTCAGCGTGGGAAAGGGACATGAAGCTGGTGCTGGTTAAGGTAAGTGGAGGATTAGGGAAAGAGAAGAGTCAACTCTTTAGGACACCTTCAGATGTGTCTATGGCTCTTGCAAGCAGGTCCAGATCTGGTCACCTGGAAGAATAGCTCTTAGGCTTACCCTGATCTGGTGTTCTATATTGACTTGAATTTTGCTAGAACAAACCAGTGGTAAAAACTGCAGAACACCTTTCCCTGAGGGTCACAGGCCAAGTGTTCCCTTTGTATAGACAGAGTGTACAAGGCAAAATGATGCAGTCCAAGCCAATGTGGGACTAGGGGGGACCAGAAGGGTTTGGGGGAGACGCTGTTTCCCCTAGCGCCCGCTGGCATAACAAGGAGTAATGGGCACAAGTTGATGGAGAGGAGGTATAGATTGGACATCCGCAAAAACTACTTCACAGTTAGGG